ACTGACGTATATGGTTATCTTTTGAATGGGTTCATGGGTTATAATGTGTTTCTATTTCTAATATAAATGATGGGATACTCGAGTTTCTAAGAAGTGAAACATAAGCATTTCGAAATTCATTTTTTCTAATAAAGAGCTCTTAAACAACTTTTCGCTTTTGGGTTTGTGAATTCATTTATTAAACGGTTCTAAATTTGACGATTTGTCAACATTTTGGCGATTTTAAGATCAGTTTCTATAGAAAGTTTTTAATTCTGAGATCTGAGAATTTTTCGGCGATTCTTTTTTTTTTTTTTTTTTTTTTTTTTTTTTTTTTTTTTTTTAAAACATCATAATGTTGATAAATTTCGTTAAATAATGGTAATGTTGTAATATTTTTTGTTGCCAAATGTGGCAACCCTAACTTCCTTTGCCATTTTATGGCAACCCCCACTTGCTTTATGGCAAACCCACCCTAAACTTGCTTTGGGGGGAAAAACTTACATAACATTCGTAACAATATATTGGAATAATATTTAAAAAATAACATTAAAATAAAACATTTTTATTTTTCGCTGTCATATTATAAAATTTCATTTTGGCAACTTATTACCATATTTGACGGCATATAAGACACACTTTTTTTCCTAAATTTGTTCTCAAAAAAGTTACCTGCGTCTTATACGTGAAGGACACAGGTTAACTTTCAATACTGAATACTATTTTGATCCTGGATAAAGGTCTAGACACACATAACTTTTTCTACATCTGCCATAATTATTTTGCACATGCGTGAAATATACGTTGCCAAAAAGCGTCAAAGCTTGAAGCTGATGTCGAAGTTCGAACAGGTTCGACGGTCACATTACGTCTCCTTCTTTACATAAACTTTCTTTGACTCAGCTGACACACGTGTCGGTATCAGTGCTTAAAACTGTTTATTTTAAAAAAATACCCTGGAAAGTATGACTACAGGAAACAAAAGATTAAGCTATACAATTCAGTATAAACTAGGAGTGTTAAACTATGCCAAAGTGTTTGGAAATAGAGCAGCAGCAAGGCATTTCGGTCCACCACCTACCGAAAAAAATAGCTTGCTGTTTGTTAATTTTCCTTAATAAAAATATGTTTGGTAATTGCATTCAATGATTGTTTATTTGGTTTTTATGAAACGTGAGAACTAAAAGATTCTAGAAGATTCGAGAAATGTGTGACAAAATGAAAAATGTCTCCATGGTATCAACACATAATGGATGTATTTTACAGAAAATTGCGATGAATTTCTTACTTTTTGGAGAACATCTCGAAGAACAATGGAAACATAATATTTGAATGTTTTATTCCTGATGCTAGAATCTTTTTCTTAACATGTTTATCTTCCCTTTATTTTCTCTACTTTTCATTAGACACAAGCATGGAAAATATCAAAAATGCTTCTAATCCTATCACCAGGCATTATAGAAGGAGATTTTTTTTATTAATTAAAGAAATTGAAAACTTAACTTAAAAAGATTCATCTAATATGTCTTAATGCATCATATACATAGCTGGCACTAGGCATTTTCCCACCTGATGCAATCTCTGTGGATTCTAAATTCTGCAGCCTAGTGCCTTTCTAAATTCTGCTTCCAATGCTTGCTCTAAATTCTAAAAGTTTTGCCATTTCTAGATTTTGTTGTTCTGTGTGTCACTAAATTCTAAAAATTCTGCCACATCAGCCCTGTAACCGCCCTTTACCATATATATTTCATAGTTCTCATCTGAATGTTCATATTACTAAAGAAATAAAATTAGCTGCTTTTTCTGTACATTCTAAATCTATGTAGTGTTTTTCAGAATAACGGAAATCCTTAATTAAATCCAAAAATTCTAAAATTAAAAGGAAACTTTTTGAAGAAAGAAACAGAATACATAAAGAAAATTATTCTTCAAAGATATGTGCAGTTATTATTATGTAAATTACCCAATTGTTTATGATTTCAGCCTTTACTATAACTTCCCATTTCTGTTTCCTCATATGATAGAGTTACTGAGCCAGATTAAATTAAAATTAAATTGTATAATCTTTGACCACTAGTCCATATTCTTAGTTTGAATTTAACTGTTCATGTTTAATTACATCACTGTGAGGTGTAATTAACTTTGTTAGCATCAGAACATGCCTTTATGTTCTAAGTTCTTTTAAATGAGAGGCTTATTTAAACCTTTGTCTGATATTGCAGTTACTTTCAGACACAGTGATAATTTGCTTCACATCTCTCAAGGGGTTTTTGTCTATTTAACTCTTACCAGATCAAGCAAACTCTCATAGGTAGATTGTGGAGAGGTTGACAAGTTAGGAGATAAAGCACGCAGAAACTAGCGAGAACATTGGTTTGCATATTGAGACAAATTTCTAATTATTGTTAGAAAAGATGCTTAATAAGAAGGAAATCGATATGAACTAGCCAAAATTTTTGCGAAGGCTTGTAGAGACATTAGGTATTTTTGAAAGCGGGAAAGATAAAATATTAACAATGCCTTCGCCGAGAATCGATCAGTGGACCTCTGGAATACCGGCCCAGTGTGCAAACCTCGAAAAACTACACCACGAACTCGCCAAGAAGGTGCTATAAAAACCTTATATGCTTCAAATTAAAATGACGGATAAATATTTTGTTGAGTGTTGTTGTTACAAAACATAAATGTTTTGTAGCTTTTAATGTCTAATTATCCGAATGTTGTTTAAGAATCAATGTCATAAAGGTACATGTATTTTAAACTGCGAAATTTCATTAGATATTGATTTTAATAAGGCTTTTTTTAACAAATATTGTTAAAAATAAAATTTAATAGTGGCTATGTAAATTCATAATGACTAAGGTTATCTAATTATCTAATTTAATTATTTATAACTATCTACTTACCCTTAAAAATTATCTCTACATATTAAAGCAATTTATTGCCTTTCATTAATACTCACTGTGGTCACAAGATAAAACACAAAAATGTAAAAATTCAAGTAAAATGTATTCCTTGCATCTTCTGACACTTAGAATAATACAGGGTGTTTCATAGATCATGGGACAAACTTGGAGGGGTGGTGGAGCATACTAAAACATGCATTGTTTTATAGGAATGTGGGGTCTAAAGTGACTGATTAAGGCAGGAACGCCAAAAAAAACGACACGAGAGGAAAATGTGTTTATGTACAAAATCAACACAAAGTGCTTCTTTGTAGCAATACAGTATTCACAATAAATGTTCAAAATTGCGACCACCAGCAGTAATACATGCTTGGTAATGTCGCAGAAGGGATTGACAAACATTTTTAAAAATGACATGCATTTCGCGCACGCTTACAGCCGCAATGGATAATCATGCAACGAGGTTCTCCAGTGAGTCAACGGGAGTTTTGTAAATGATGCTCTTCAGATGGCCCCATAAAAAAAAAATAAAAAAAATCCAAGCTAGATAAATCTGGCAAACGGGGTGGCCGTCGAATGGGTCCACCGCAGCCAATCCATCGGCCCGGAAATGTCCAATCCAAGTAATTCCGGACCCGCACATGGTTATGGGCTGGTGCACCATCATGCTGGAACCACATGCGATCGCGAACGACAGCCGGAACATCCTGCAGAAATTCCGGTAGTACCTCTTGCAGAAAAATATGATAGCATAAGCCATTTGTACGTGCAGGTAAGAGGTATGGGCCTATGAGGTAGTCGTTAACAATATCCGCACACACATTCATGGAGAAGCATTGTGCAATTTGTAGATGTTTTTTTAAGTTTAAACCGGATGCTGTGTACATGGTATTCTTTGAAATTTATCGTTGTTATGTTAATTTATTAAAGTGAGGTGTGCGTAGTTCGTAGATTCTTTCACTGCCTAGATTGTGCAATTCGTAGATGTTTTTTTAAGTTAAAACATATCGCTGTGTATATGGATTCTTGTCAAATATTTGTGGTTAGAAACTTTACGTTTTTGCTATCTAAATTTTTTGTTTTTGTTTCGGATTTGATCTTAAATTGTGGTTTTTGCATGTGTGAAAACCGCGTTTTGGGAGACATTTTAGGCTTAAAGTTCGAAATGTAGACAAAAAATTTAGATAGTAATATGGCACCGTGGAGTTGCAAGAAATTTGCCACCAAGCAAAGGCTTATATAAGAGTAGTTTCCAGAATAAAATAATTTTTAACTATATAGTTGAAACATTGTTTTGAGTGTTCTAGAAATGTCGTAAAATTTTGCAAAATTTATATCTTAATTCCTGTCCGTCCAACCTTGCACCTGTAATACATATAATAGTTTACAAAGGTTGCAAATTGTTACATTGTTGTGAACAATGCATAGTGTGCAAGCTATCATTATATAGCCAAGTATATGATATGTGATGTTAGACACATTTTTTATTAATTATGCTAATGATAGAATTATTTATAAAAATCATCGATTAGATAAGTGCTTAAATGTTTTTAAATCTGCATAAATAACACATCATCTCACGTATTATATTTACTTTTTAAAATGCCTTAAAATATTTCAGCTTCTTACATACATAACCTAATCTGTTTTCCTGATATTATTCAAATAAACCTCCCTCTATTATATAACTATGAGCTTTTATTTTGTTATAGCAACTAAATTTTAAAAGAATTAAATACGGGATTTTTTTTGAAGGAGATATGTTTAGAATGTAAAACAAGTAGTAAAAATTATTTTATTATTTAACTTATGGGTGATTGAGAAGTTGTACCATTAATACTAGAGTGCATAGAAGATAAATTAAAGGTGCAATGAAAACAGTTGCCAGGTCACACTGATTATAAATGGTATGTAACATAATATAATAACCCCAAAATTTAGGGAAATTTTCCTAAAAATGCTTTTCAAATCAAAAAGACTAGATAGATATGGTGAAAAATAACATTTTGTGTATAGTGTTTAATACTTTTTTTCCCATGCATGAAATTTATTATTCAATATCATTGTGTGGTTTATTAGATGGTCAAACTATATAACCTTTCATTTATATTACAGAGCTCTTTCATTCGTAAACAATAATTTTGGTGGTGTTATACCCGAATTGTTACTTGGTGATTCCGAGAAATTATTAATTGCTCAAGTTGATCAAGAACTTAAAAATTACATTTCTTGTATGGAGAAAACCAGGTAAGTTAATAACTCTTCATATTCCATTATAAGAATTGTGATTTTATATTTTTCTTAAATTTAGATTTTTAACTCATTTTACTAAAAATTTAGATTTTTAGAACTGTTATTAATTTTGCAATTAATATTTAATAATTTTATCTTCATTTTAATCTTTATTTGTTAATTTTAGTATTAGTCTTTATAATTAAATAATGCACATATATTATATTCTTTCGAATTTAAACCATAGTAGGATTTTAAAATTGGAAAAAATTATAGTAACTGAATTCAAGGCCACTAGGATTTAAAATTATGTGCATGCATAGAGTGTTATTCAAATCATTGGAAAGTGGGAGATTGACAGAAATAAGATGTTAAAATTTTTTGATTGTAATTGTAACAGTACTGTAATTTTACATCTTAAAAATATTAATAAAATGTAAATAAATTCAAAGTAATATAGTAGTACATGATAGTGCCTTATTGTGATAATCTCTCTACATCTGCTTTTTATTGCTGTCTCCTTTTATTATTATTTAAAGAAGTAAATAATTTTCAAATAATTAAAGAAGAATGATTCTAAATTAAGCGGAAATGTTTAACTGATAAAAGTTAAGTGTCTAAGTAAATTTTCCTTCAGTAAATTTGGATGTATGCAGACTTTTGTCTCATCATTATTTATAATTAAAGAATTATCAATTATAAATTGAGGCCTTAATAATTTATGTATTAAATACAAGGTATACTTGAAATTTTGTGATCTGTCAGTATTAAATGCTTTTTAATTTTTTAAAGTTTCATAATGGAGATAAATTTTTAAGGAAATTATTTCGTATACAATGATCGATTTATCTAACATTATAAGTATGCGAATTGTGCATGTTTTTAAAAAAAATTGTCTCTTTTTTTTTTTCCTCAGACTTCGTGATGCAATAAAATATATTCTGAATATCAGTCGCATCGGTAACCAGTATATCCAGGCCAATAAGCCTTGGGAGTTGGTTAAGGGATCTGCTGCAGAAAAGTAAGATTTGATGATAAATTTAGCTGTTTGGGTATTAAAGTCAATTTTTTTTTGTTTTGTTTTTCAATTTTTCAAAAAACTCAATTAAAAAAAGTGAAGTCATTTGGCCAAAAATTTTCATATTTTTAGTTATTAAAATTCATATTCAGTTAAATACTTTGGATTGTAAATATTTCTTTAATATTTCCTATTTGCTGATTTGCTTATTTTTACTTATTTACTCTGATAAAAAAAATACTGATTTTATATATTTTAAGGTTTATTTACACCAATAAAAAATTTATTGAAAGGTATGCACTTCCTTAGAAGGAAAGAGGGGGAATAAAATGTAAGTTTATCACAGTGCTTCTTAAGAAGCCCAAAATTTATCTAAAAATGAATTTGTTTTTAAAATTTCACAAATGCTGTAGTTGAAAACCTTAAAAATACTCTTGAAAATTAAAAGCAGTTTGCAGATCATTAATAAATTTGAACTTTACATCATAATTTTACAGAGATATAAATAAAAGTAAAAGCAATATGATTTGCTACTTAAGTTGATAAATTATATTAGGTCTACAAATTTCATTTCAGTTATACTGTTTGATACTTTTACATTATAATTGCAATGTCATAGTTAGTGAAAACACGATTGTTGCTGATTGAAAACATTTTTTATAAAGGTAGTATTTCAGTACTGTGTAAGTCAGAACATTTAATCTGCAGGTGGCATTTGTTTATCTTCAAAGTGCATTGCATAAGATCAGCCAATGGTGTAGTAACCAGCTGATTAAAATCAACCCAGCCTAAGCTAACATAAGAGATATAAGCACAGATGTATAGTAACTATAATCTGGTCGTTTTATCTGGCTCTTTACAAAACTACATTTAACTTCTAGTTGATTATTTTCACATTTTGACCCTATGTAATAAGAATTTATCTTTGGGTTGGTAATGGGCAAATTGCTGTTTATATATAAGTTTAGAATAGATTTATTACACTTTAGTTTATGCAGTTCAAGTTATTATTACTGAGACCTTTTAAGAATCTGTAAATCACTGTTTCATAAATTCAAAATCTGAAGGAAGTGTCTTCATCAACAAAATAAACATTACACAATATACTATTATACATCTATTTGAAATCATGATAAGTATTTTAATTTCTTGTAGAGCAAAAGCTGGAACAATCCTTGGTTTGAGTGCAAATATTTGTTGTCTTCTTTGTACTCTTTTGGAACCATATATGCCAGATACTTTTAAAAATTTGAAAACTCAACTCAACACCGAACAGTCTCTTCATATTTTAATAAATGATTTCGTTTGTTTACTTCCGAAGGACCATAAAATTGGAAAAGTAAGTCTATTTTAAATATTTATATGATAGAACTGGATTTCATGTTACTGTGAGTATATAATAATACTAAAAATAATTGTAATATGCAGATTTAAAAGCAGAATAATATTTGTTAAATATATTTTTTATAATGTAGTATTTTGGGTAAGAATTTTGTTTTAGAACTGTTATTATTTCAGTAGTGATAATTAACTGTATGGTTTGAAAATCTATTTCATTTGCAATCTTTGTTACTGTCTGTGTAACATTTTAAAACAGAAATTTCGAAAATGTGGATCTAGAACCAAGAATGTGTGAAAAATAAGTGTGTTGCAAAAAATTTTGGAATTTTTTTAATTATGAAATTATGTTCATTTACGGTTATTAATTTTTAAAAGTATATGTTGTTTATTGTTTTTGCATTATTTTCTTCTAGATTTGTTTGTTTTCGTCCCTCCAAGGGTAACTATATATATGTGGTTCGTAATGAATTGCAGTATATATGTATTTTTGTGGTCCGTGTGATTAGAAATTTGGGAAACACTGTTTGAAATGATTTCAGTTGATGCCAGAAGAATCTTTTTTTTTTTTCTTTATATACACAAAGAATAAATTTAATCAACTTAAATTTGATAATTATATATGTTCAGTCTATCAGAAAGTTCTGTCCGTTTTTGGGATAAAAAAAATACAAATTTTTCTTACTGTAAATAAACTTTATTAAATAATATAATTGCCATTATTATTAATGACTTCTTGCCAGCATGAGGGCAATTTGTATATCCCATTTTTGAAAAATGTTGTAACTTTTGATGTGAAAAATTGAGCCAGTGCTTGTTTGATATCTTCTTCATTTTTGAATTTTTTGCCCTTCAAAAAATTTTGTAAGGACAGAAACAAGTGATAGTCAGAGTCCAGGAAATATGGTGGATGTGACAGAATTTCCCAGCCTACTTCTGCAATTTTTAGATGAGTCCCCAAAGCAGCGCGTGGCCTGGCATTATCATGATGCAGTATGATGTCCTTCCTATTGAACATCGCCGGCCTCTTTTCTTCTACTGCTGTCTTTAAAATGTCCAGTTGCTGACAATACTTCACTGAATTTAGCTTTTTGTTCAGTTTTAAAAGCTCATAATGTATTGGTCCTCGAATGTCCCACCATATGCACAACATACGCTTATTCAAAGTCAAATTTGGTTTAGAGGTGGAAGGGCTAAGTTTTTTGGGCTCACAATATGCCTTTTTTGTTATAATGTTTCTGTAGGTAATCCACTTTTCATCCCCAGTTATCATCCGGTTCAAGAAGGGCTTGATTTTGTTCCGAGTAAGCAGAGATGTGCACATGATGACTCGATGATCCAAATTCTTCTGACTTAATTCATCTTGAATCTTGACCCATCTTGAATATTTCCACACCAATCCTATCTTCCAAATATGGTCCGAAATGGTTTGCTGAACTAAATTAAGCCTTTCTGCGATCTCCGATGATGTCAGAAAAGGATCTTGCTGCAACATGGTCGTAACAACATTGTCGATCAAAGATGATCGCCCAGAACATGGCTTATCAGAAAGGTCGAAATCACCTGTTTCAAATTTTTTGAATCATCTTCTGCATGTCCTATCAGAAACTGTACATTCACCAAACACTTTCAATAAATTTTGACATGCTTCTGTAGCATTTCTTCCTTGTTGAAATTTGTATAAAATACAGTGGCTTAAATGAACTTGATCGGTAGCCATGGGTACACTATCGCTTCATACGTAAGACTGGTGGTGGCTTTGAGGTCTGGATTTTAGAACATTTCGGATATTGGACGTCCGGATCTTGGGCTTTGTACTGTACTAAACTTTCTGGTAGATTTTTTGGGGTGGGGGGGGGTAGTTCATGTGGCACAACAAGTAATCCTGGAAATTCACATGAAGAAGCTAATTTTGTGCATAGGAGAGTGATAAATGTATGGAAAATACCTCTGTCTCTGCAACAGAGATCACATTTCAAATTGCAAAGAAATTTTTAAACACCTTTGTTCATGACAGACATTGTTCTCTATATTGTCTGTGAAGGCTGGTCAGAATCTGTAAACTTGTGGTCTCTTCCTCCACTAAAACATTTCTTGTAACCCTTTGTTTCATTGATTGAGGCACTTTCTAAACAGTATTTACTCTCATAAGCACCACACATGATTGGTAAAATTAAGCTCTCACTTTACTTTTTTCATAAAGTATTGCATAAAAAATCCATCAATCTGGATCATATTTGAATGTTCTAGTATATATAATTTAGTGACATATACTACCTATAAATATAAGTATCTGTAAATAGAGATTTTTTTATAAGTCATTTATCTAAAATCTTGAAATTTTTCTCTAATTTCTTTTATAAATCATTTTACTTTTTTATGTAACTGGGAGCAACTCTTTTTAAAAATTTAAACTATGTAATATTAAGGTTTATGACTGTTTGCTCAAATTTTAGTAATACCTTGTTTCTTTAATTTATGTGAAATATTTTTTGCAGCCTGTGCCTTTGTTCAAAAAAATTGATCAAGATCTTATTAACAATTTAAAAACAAAGTATGGGGGTAGACAATCACCTGATAAGGTAAGAAGAATTTTAAAAAATTTACATTTAAAACTTGCCGTAAAATCTGAATTTCATTTTTTTGTTTTTATCTCTCTCTCTCTATATATATGTGTATGTATATATGTATGTATATATATATATATATATCTATATATATTGTTTTTATCTAATTTTCCCCCTTTCCATCATGCTTAATGAAAAATATGCATTGAGAAATTTCAGTGTGTTTTTTATACCATTCCTTTATTTATATTTTAGTTTATCTGATTTATCTTATTTTATAATTCAAAATTTGCATATAAGCAATGAAATTTTAAAGTACTGAATTCTTAGCATTCTGCATGCAACGAGACTTTTAACCTAAAGCAAAAGATACAGGGTTAGAACTGTTTACTGATGGCTCATATATAAGGTGATTTATTGTTCCTTCTGCACTTCTGAAAGTTTATAAATTAACTGTAACAAATATAGCAAAAGGATGCATATCAATACATAACCTCAGTAAATGTGTAATTATGTGATGTGGCCACTAGCAGCCACATCACATAATTCATTGCTGCTAGTTTTTTTTTTTTTTTTTTTTTTTTTTTTTAATGAGGCAAACTGTTACAAGTTTCGTATACCTGCATATGTTGCAACAGTGGCTACTGCCATAATTATAGGTTGAGAGCAAGGAGTTAATTTTTCACTAAATATTTAGACTTCTCCCATATTCTGAGAGGCCACTTAAGTCAGTGTTGGACTTGTTGCTTATTGGATTGCATTTGCTTCTTGAGATGACTCTGCTTTTCTTCTGTTCCCTCATGTTTGTGTGATTTTTTTTTTTTCTTTTGGTATTACATCAAATGTCATGTATCTATACCTGTTTGTCACATCATCAACATAATTATCAGAAAGGATTAAGCATGCAATTTGATGTTAATTATGGCATCCTGAATTTGCGTTTTCAAGAATTTGTATTCAGGATTGATGTCTGCTGCTTAACCAGGACTGCACACATATAAGATACATATAAAGGTTTAGACAAACTCTTTATGTACCGATATGTGCCTGTTGTAGTTTTTGAGAGAATTGTGATTTGCAGTGCATAAATAATAATGTGTGAAAAGAATTTGTTGCCTACTGTAATGTTGGGCACATTTTTCACTGAAAGTCGAGAAATGTGAGTTTGCCATGCTGGGACAAATCCTCAGGTAGAAGCCTTGTGAATGTAAAGTGGAGTGCAAGTTGGAGGAGAAATGATGTGAAAATGCAAAGTTTGAGGAAGCTGGTGAGGGTTAGCTGCTATGAGCAATGTTCCTGATAACATGAATAGTGTATGGCCGCAGGTTAATGTCCATATCAATCAGTGTGTATTTGAAATTATCTGCATAGCTGCCATCTTTGTTATTTATTGCTTTGGCATAAAAATTGCTGTTAAGTTTGTTAATAAAGGTGATAAGCTCATTCAGTTTGGGATCTCAATGTAATTGATCATTTCTGATAAACCAGGTCCCCCTGTGATTTGCCGTAAAATGTTATTTTGAAATGTCTGTGGTTTATTGAGGTTCGATCTAGAGGTAGCATTCCAAGCTGACAAAGCATATGTTAGAATGGGCCATAAGATTTCTCTCTTTGCCTTAAGAGTTAAAATGATCTCAAAAGTAATGAAAACACTGATTAAAGGACAGAAACTGTGCTAACTAAAACTTTCTCTAAATTTCTCTAACTGTAGTTTATAATTATAATATATTTATAATAATAATATATTTATAACTGTAGTTTATAAAACTTCTCTAAACTGTAGTTTATAATGTTTTACAAATTCAAGTAGAATTTGTTAAGATTGCATTTTATCATAATATCTTAAAAATTTGCTGACAAATGGACATTTGAAAATTCTGATCTTATATGTTTTTAAATATTACTAAACATAAATATCAAAATCATCGGAATGATCTAATAATCAAATAACAACTGGCTGTGGCAGATTTCCTGCTGAACAGATTTTCCTATTGAGATATTAAATATTTATGGGCAAAATAAACAAGAAGTTGCTAGGTTACTGTTATATATATCATGTTATATATAACAGTAACCTAGCAACTCAGCTTCCCCAGAAAAAGTAATATTGAAATTTCTCCAGAATAAAAGGATTATATTTAAAATAGGGAAAACTCATAAGAAATTATGCTTAAGCAAAATAGTGATAAATTCTTTTAGATCTAAAACATTGAGTCATCATATAAAGTCATTATATAATATTTTGGATTTTACAAGACAGAGTGTAAATTCAAATGCTTTTAAAATGCAAACTTATTATAATAAATATATGATTATGCTATGTTGATATGCATAAAGCATATAAATATTCTATATCATTGTTATAATCTCTTATCATTTATGAATTCTTTTGTATTTTGTACTAACAGAAGTACCCAATTCCAGTTAGGTTAGATTGAAAGTAATGTATCTAACAACAGAGAGATACTGCTGTAATCCTTTTCTAATAACGATGCAAAAATTACGATTTATACTCTTAAAATTTTCAGGCTGATGCAATATGGAACCAACATAAAAAATTTCCATAGAAAAACTAATTCTCTCTCATTATATCTGCAACAATGGCACACAGTTTTTAATGATTTTCGTCTTTCTAATCAAATGTTCGTAAAACTCGAGTTCCGTCCAATATTTCACGTATATTCAATTTTGGTCGATTAAATCTGGCCAAAAAATTGATCATAATTTATCAGATATCAATAATGTGAAGAAGCGCACACACAAACAAGCACTCTTCTTTATATATATAGAGAGAGATTTGTAAAACTTAAAAACTTCTTATTAATAAACTCTACAATTTGGAAGCGAACAGTAGCAATACTTTTTGAAACTAAGCATTTTTATCTCCAACAGGCAAGACTGCAGTCACTCGAAAGAATGAGTGCAAAAATTAGTGCTTTTAGAGTTTTTATTTAATATCTTCGCTGATGAATTCGTCATATGAAGTTGGGAATAGTCAAAATGGCTTCCCACGAATTTTTGGAATCAGGTATAATGTATTTACTGTTTGGGAATGCTATTTTTATTTCACTGTAAAACTTGGAATTTTTTTATTAACAAACTCTAAAATTTGAAAGCGAGCAATGGCAACACTTTTCGAAATAAAGCAGATTTTTATCTCCAGTGTGCAAGACCTGTTGCCACTCAGAAAAATGAGGGCGAAAATTAGTGTTTTTAGCATTTTTAATTAATACAGTCAAAAGTCTTTAATCCGGACTCGTCGGGACTTCGGCAATTCCGGATTACCTTTTTTTCCGGATTATAGATCATAAATTTAAATCTGGTAAGATGGCATGCAGAAATTATAAAATTAAAAATATGAAACCATAATTTATGAAATAAAGAGCAATTATGATCTAAAGGGTATCAAAATTTACAAAAAAAAAAGCTTAATATTTGTTTGTTTACTTTATTAAACGTTTTTTTCAACGCGCGCATGCGTAAAGCATACATTACGCATAGTCGAAATTACAAAATTGCAACCAGAAAACTATTTGATGTGTATTCGTGATGTTTATAATGACAAGGTATTTGATTTAAATCATATCAAAGACGGAGTACATCAAGATGAATATTACATTTAGTAAGGAATTATAAGCCGAATAAAATAAAAACATCTGCCCTAAAGATAAGGATAATGCTGACAGATCAACTTCTAGTTCATTGCGTGCTGCGATGTCCCCCCCCCCCCGCAGAGCTACGTGAAATTGATAAACAGATTTCAGAATGGTTAGAAAAACAAAGGATATGCCTTTATCCATTTTTTGCAGCAATTCCACTTTTTGTTTGATGGGCATCGAAACATGCTTTCACTTTGTAGATCCTTTGGCAGCTCCGGAATCAGACATTCTTATTGACATAATTGAAAGTTCAAACTTACTTTTATAAAATTGCTGTAACAGTCTGCAAAAAATAATAAGCGGGATCCAATTCGAAGATTAAGGAACAATGCAATCTGCAACATTAACTGAAATAGATAATTAGATAATTTTAGCTTAGCTTATACCATCCATTATACATTAAACGCGCATAGGTAAAGGTATTATGCGCATGCGTAAATGCATTATGCTTTTACGCATGCGCAGAAAGTTTGTAGCTTTGAGGTCCGGATTATAGATCATTCCAGATTATGGATGTCCGGATTAACAACTTTTGACTGTATGTCTGATTTTGCCTTATATATATATATAATATTCTATGATCTTAAATTCACTTAGTGCAAAATCGAGTTGTTCTACTACTTGCACAACTGCTGCAAAGTAAGTTAATAATAATTTATTTACTAGATAATATTGATTTATTATCTCCTCAGATAAATTATGGTAGAATTATCTGAAAAGATGAATCCATACTTAGTAACTTATGTTTAAGGGGATTAGAATTAAATCATGAATAACAAAATTTAATTGCAAAAGGAAATAAATTAAAAGCAAGTAATAATAATGCAAGTAATCATTGCCATGATCGGAATTAGTGACTTTTCAAGGGGAACAAGCCAACACCCGTTCAATGAAGAATAATTAAGAAATAAATAAATACGAAGGTGTTTGTCCTTTACTCAAGCATAAGGCGATGCCAATCAGCAATTTAAGCTAGGCCAAAACATTTCTGTGAATAGAAGGGATTAAGAAACCAATGCAGAAACCAAAGAACTATTCCGATTAAGCATTTTTAACTAATTAATTTTGAGTGTGAGTGAAAAGCAATTTCTGCAGTAAAATGATATTGCTCGAGTAGCTGTCCCCCGACACCCTCGTGTTTATGCATTAATTCAATATTATTTGTAAAAATTAAACATTGGAAATTGTCATTATGGAAGAGAATTCAAAGTAGTTGAAATAACATTAAAAATACAAATATAAGAAAAATATTGCAAACTTTGTAAAAAACAATCAAAAATAAAAATAAAGTTTTTTAAAATATGTAACAAGAAAAGTGAATATGCATGAAGAGATAAAGGCCAGAAAAAGCATTAA